ACAATACACGTTTAAAATGTATAGTGCTGTTATGTTGTAACCCGGCCGACAGCCTTGATCATTACAAAAGAATATAATTCTTTACAAACACAAATGTATTATAAGTTTTCATCGAAAATTTATATCCTTTTATTTCATAAAAGATAACCCGTTGTACTATTCATACATTTTCTATTCATTAAGTTATCGGTAGTATTCATATCAAGCAACGTCTTTATCCCGTTCTAATCGAAAGCAATGTATCGACCCGGTGATGATAATCATTTACTTATAATGTTCGCCAATTTACATAACATAATGATTAGAGTGAAAACCAATAAGAATATAAAGGTGGATTTGTGTATGGTTAGTTCAGTAACTGCCCCAAGGAGGCCTCGTACCAGCGTCCCAGCGGTTTGTAATGACGGCTTTTCTGACCTTGATGTATATAATTGAAGCTGAATATGAAATCCCATAGCTGGAAAACAGTAGAATGAAGCCTACCAGCCGGAAATCCTTGTCTTCGTAACTTTTTGTCAAACCGACTAGTATATCAATAACAGGTACGATCAAAAATGCATAAGGTTGCTAACGGTGCTCAACGTAATTGTTAAGCAGGTAAAATTCATGACACAGACATTGTATCATATTACCATAGCATCATTTCAGGAGAGTCTGTCTTGCATTTTATAGGATAGGTCATATCCTACATAGGTGTAGCAGGAAGTGTAACTGGATCCGAATACCATAAGTAGTACAACGTTATATGTTGTTGTCGAACAATTTTATTATAGTTTGGCAGTTATTCATTTTCATAAAGATTTGCAGGATAGGATGGTTGCAATTGTAAATGTAACGTAAGAAAGTTAGTCAAAATTAACATATTAATTAACGATATAAAGATAAGTAATTCAAGTTTTAAAAAAATGTCACTCTTGATAGAAACAAATATCAAGGTTCATTTATCAACCTAGGTCATGCGGAGAGATGACTGTAGGACACACTCGATTGAATGTGTAAAATTTTGTAATTGATCCAACTTGCCAAAATATGAATTACTCTTCGCCATACAACTGTTTCGTCATTCAATGATTCATCAATGATGATTGAGGTCAAGAGGTTAGAAATCGGAACCTATCTAAACTACTGATGAAACAGAAGGGAAATGCGTAAAACGCCTTCATTATATGGATTTCAAATTGTTTTTAGAGGTGCACTGGTAAGCTTCAATTAATATTGAGAGGTGAGTTACATTTCTCTTTCGTTAGCTGTTAAATTGCGAAAGGACTTTAATGCGTGATGGTTGAAGCTAGTTGAACCACAAGAAAAAACACATTACAAAATGTTTTGTTAACGTATTTCAGTAATGTGTAAATGTAAACCCGAGAGTCGTGTGACTTTGATAACTGACCTTTAGATTATTATATATCAGTCATTCCATAGCATATAAAGGTATTATAAATGAGCTTAACAAGATGTAAACTTTATACCTAGATGCTACCTTTATGTAGAAATAATTGTGACGTAAAATTACCATTACGTAAAGATCATTATGTAGAAATCATTTCTATGTAGAAATTATCATTTGTAGAAATAACTTTTATGTTGGAATAACAATTATGTAGAAATAATGATTATATTGAAATTACTATTATAGAAATTAATATTGTCAAGAGATTACTATTATGTTGAAATTACTACTCTGTATAAAGAAAATCCCGGTAAAATACACATTTAAAAAAGTACCTGTGCATTTTTAATTTCCAGTCCTGAATATTGGGATATAGAAAACACTACATCTACAAAAAGACATGTAACGTAAAGTTCTGTCATTCATCTGATCACACAGCCGTTGGTTTCACTTTATTTTATTTACTGTTAAAATACGTTAACGGGATATTTCGTAACAATTCTTTGGCTTTGACGGGGTACAACCATCTTAATTTGAGGCCGGTATGTTTCTCAACATATTGTAAAAGAGATATTGAGCCCTACAGGACCCAGGTTTGAAAAACACTTAGACAATGCATCATCTCGCTGTGGTCAGTTTGGTTACGAGAGTGATTGGCCTGTCATAATGTGGGTAAATTAGTCTTATTAAGGCATCGGCCCTATTGCCATATTACAGACAAAGCTCATTTTGTTTGTTTGTTTGTTTGGGTGGGTTGGTGGTTCTACGTCCGCCTTACTACCGAGTAGTTCGGTTATCCAGCAGACGAATAAGCTTTTTCGTTCAGTATCTTGTTAATAACAAACATTCAATCTATCCAAATTACATATCTTATTACTGATGTTTAATTGGGGTCTTTGAATATGACCTGTCATTGGGTGAATATATACGATGTCGTTCTAACTATCTTTTAAAGGGGACTGAACCTGAAATGGTATTGTCTTTTCCGGAATTGGTTTAAAAAAATACTTTGAATAACTTGATGTGGAAACCTTATCGGCTTAAGGAAATCTTTTTATCTTAGATTATTTCAAAAGTGAAAGAAAATTATGACCAAAACTGCATCTGTATTAATATGCACTTCAATACTTATATATAACTTATCAAAGATGCATGTTTAATTTATAACAAGTAATAATTCAAAGATAAAATTCAACACAATATTAAGATTACTTATTAAAGAACTGATTCAGCTGAAAACGAATGTCATACTAAGTTCATGTGCGTAGCAGAACGGCGATTACCGGTAGCTAGCAGGGTCAATCATAGGCTTTTCAAATAAACAGATGCATTTACATGTTTGAAGTTGCGAAAAACAAAAAGACCACATGCACATATTTTAACCATTGGTTATGCAAATACAGACAAATATCTATTTCAGTACATTTCCATGTCAAAAAAAGAGAGAAAATATAATATATATTTTTTTATCATTTTTGAACGTTTGTGAAAATGCAAGTAATTAATGATACCTACATATAAACATCGACAAAATAGCGAAAGAAAACTGGCTTTTCAAAGCATTCTGTCACTTCATAAACACATGCATCAAATAAAGAAGTCAGAATGCATGAAAATAAAATATATAAGTCTATGAAGATTTTTTGTCGAATCACCTACATTAATCGCCCATCATAAACGCTAAAGCCTTAATGTCATGAAAGTCACCTGATATCTATGTTGATTCATTGTTTATGCCACTTACATAGTAAAAACGTTACTGAAATATGGTAATTCACCTACTCTTCGATCGTTGTTATCTATGCCGGTTCATTGCTTATGTCACTAACATAGTAAAATAATTACTGAACTTGTAGTTCACTTACTCTTAGATCGTTGTTATCTATGTTGATTCATTGTCTATGTCACTAACATAGTAAAATAGTTATTAGACTGGTAGTTCACTTACTCTTAGATCGTTGATATCTATGCCGGTTCATTGTTTATGTCACTAACATAGTAAAACAGTTACTGAACTGGTAGTTCACTTACCTTAGATCGTTGTTATCTATGCTGGTTCATTGTTTATGTCACTAACATAGTAAAACAGTTACTGAACTGGTAGTTCACTTACTTTTAGATCGTTGTTGACCTACACACTTTCCTGGGTTTGACGGAATATATCATGACGTGTGGCGAATGTGGTGTTTATCGATCTTTTTCTATGTTGCCTTTCCATTTGTTTTGGTGTCTCCCCGTGTGTTCTTCTCTATTCGTGTCAACGTTATGTTCATAGCTTACTTTGTGGGTTAAAGATTGGATGTTTACGTTTCTTCATTTATATTTTCCCCATAGCAATTGTTCATAACAATATACTGTATACTAAGAAATATTTCCTGCAGTTGAATATTCTTCGTCTTGAAGGCGGATACTTTATGATGGCAAATATTAACACAGCTTCCTAACAGCTATACGAAAACGACTGGTTCCGATAACTACAGGTAAACAAATACCACAGAATCTTTTATTTTCAATATAAACGGCAGAGTTTTATGTATGCGGTTTCAAGTTTGTAATAGCTTTTGCATGTAGTATTACTTAAAACATATTATCACATACCTATGTAATCTTACAATGAATACAAGTAATACAACAATTTTCTGTTGACGTTTTCTGTCGGTTTGTATCACCATACTAGCCGGAACTACTTTTTATGGGAATCCCCTGGTAATGGCGAACTGAAAAGTTCCCGGTATTTGCAAAAAATATCAAAGTTTATAAAATCTTTATATTGATCTCTACAAAATACAGGAGGTATGTGATAAAGGAAGACCACACACTTGTATTTTTCTAACGAATCAGAAAGCACTCATTTATTGTGCGATAAGAAAAACACAAGTGTGGTCTTACATATTAACCTAATGAACGGGCATGAAACAAATTCATATAAAACTCGTGTATAACACCATGCTGATCAATCAACGGGAGGTAACTCTATAGTATATAGTATCTGAAACAGAGCAGGCTGCGTAAAATAATAAATCATTGGCTAAAAGTTAATGCATTTTGAAGGTGTTTTTTTTTTTTTATATTCTGCGTCGTTTTTGGTATTGTTGGTTATATCGGCTTACTTGGTTTGTTTTACGCCCTCGCCCTTACCTCGAAAGCATTCGTGTGCATCACACAGTCTATTCAAGTACTGAGTGGAGAATTAAAAGTACGTGATATTGTTATGATTGTGACGGCTACAGATCAAGAAATCGGTACGAGAGATTGTGATACGTTAGTTTTGCGGCTCTAAACAAGAACGAGAAGTGTAATGTTACCAAGCAAACTTGTGACAACAGGTGCTACATAAGGAACAGGAAACTCTATTCCCTCCAGTTTTCACCTGGTTTGTCTTTTTCGTTTTGTAAGTGGGGCTGATGCTCTTTCATTTTATTTTTTACCTCTGACAATGTTGCTGTCTCTTTGAAGCCTGGAAGCCATCTTGTGATGAAACCAGGTGTTTTGGACTTCCTACACGACATGTGCCTACACGACATGTGGCACATTCATAATTTGTGTTACATCCATAAAAGAACGGGCTTTTTTCAACCAGTCCTTTTAAGTACGACAAAAAATACCATTACAAGAACAATTACATAATCATTTATTTCCAATAGCGACCTTAACGAGGATTAAAAGAGAACACAAATATAAGCAAGGCACATGTAAAAGAGCCAACGACCACAGCTGAACGTATCTGTAAAGAGAACAAAATGTAGCCGTCAATATCCTCTGCTCTAGATCTCCCATGTTGAAATGAGAACAATTATGTTATTGTTTACAAGCATAAGTGATATGTAATTTGCAATGTGTCACTTTTCTTTGCAGTTTTTGGGATGTGATCCAGGCAAACAATTATGAAACATCACGTACAAATTTTGCACCGTTTGTACCCCTACACAGTGCGCTTGGATCGTGAGTGAAATAAGAGATACAATCTGTCACTATTTTTTTAAATATATACGGGTGGTACTCAGGCAAGGTACGCAAATATTCATGTTTCGGTACCTTTTCTATTAACATTTTGTATTTCTCAAGTCGAAAGTTAAAATATCACATTTGAGACCTTTTAAAAGGATATGCTCTGTGAAAGATTGTACATGGACGGTCAGAACCGGCTGCTTATCCTCTGCTAACGAATGTTGAGCGGGAGATAAAAGTGTGTTTTTGTCGCCCCATAAAAGAAATATAAAGTTTAAAGCATTTCACGTTTTTAAGACATTCATTCGAACTAATTAGTCTGCATGTGAAAGTGTTTACATTTTTCCTTCAAATAAACAATAGCTGACTTTTCAGATACAATCTCATGATATGTCTGGAAATTTTGCTAGAAGTAGCTGACCTACTGTAAATTCGTTAAATTTGCGAGATAATTATTATCGTATGAAGGCATCAGGAAAATCGAACGCGGATGAAATGTTAATGCGAATAAGTATGTTATCGGTCGTCTTACAATTAATATTCTCGGGGAATAAGTCATTTGATTTGCGGTCACAAAAATGTGTCCTTCCTTTTGTCTAGCAATGTGCAGTATTTAAACAAAACACTTTGTTTTTTCACATAGTTTCTTTATATTTCGAATAGGAATAATTATCCCGAAAACACGATAATACAACATTGATGATTTCATTTTTATCATTATTTCATAATAAAAATAATAAAAAAATAATGTGTATATACAGCATTCGTCTGTACATCAGTTGTTGTGCTATCTTAAATGTATACTTACAGTATTCAGTCATCGAATAAATCGTCGTAAAATTCTCTCATCATGTATCGTTGGCGCATTGCTCTGAATGATCGAGGAAATCCATAGTCGTAGTCGTAGTAACCATAACGTGGGTAGTCTGCCTCGCCTAGGGCGGCGTACATCACCATAACAACCAACAGGAAGATCAGTTGTTTATACGCCATCTTGTGTTGTCCTGTTAGTATCAAGAATACACGTCAATATCGTGTACTGTAAAAATGAAAATTCTTGCGTGCAGAAATGTTCGCGTTATGACTCTCCACCCTGATATGACCATGGCTGCTTCGAGGGCGTTAGCGTTAAAGCGCTAATTTACGCATAAACGCAAAAATTTTCAAACCGCAAAAAAAACTATTTTTACTGTATAAATATAGATCTCACTAGTTGGAAGAGCAAAATATACAGACAATGAAGAGTTTTCATTAGTATAGTATTTTTTTTATAAAGGCCAAGTATTTCCTTTTTCTTCATTAACTACATAATCTGGAAATATATCAACTTTGCCAAGACGGATTTGTTTAATCATACCACAGGCGTTTTCCTATTCGTTTAACAGTCATCAAAAATATTAATATCTCTGTATAACTAAACATGATCTGTAAAAACAATACCCAGACCATATCACTCTAGGTAGCATCCCGTTATACTCTATGGCATCGTTCGCTTTGTACAATTTCCTTCATACTTAATTAAATCTCCTAGCAAGACCAGTCGTTGGAAGTGTTTACTCATGTTTAACACAATCCATTATTTATATCTGATTGATGGTTACTCCATCCAACCCTTCAATGACAGCCGAAACACACAAATCAATCACAAAGGAGTGGTACATTATGCTACTCTTATCTAGCAATGGTTTTTTTTTTAGAATATCTTGTTCGTGATGATTTTCATTCACAAATGGATATAAATTCTTCAATGTGCTTGAATTAGCATTCCCGAGTCTTTCCAATCCAAATAAACCAATAGTACAATTAACCTAGTTATCACAGCTCAAAAACACGTTCAAAGTCATTGGAAACTTGACCGAAGAAAAAGTAAATTCAACTTCTATATAAAATAACTTGACAACACTAGTATGAAATATCATAAAAGAAATCATACATGGCAAAATGAAATAATACGAATAATAGTCTGTACAAAAATTGCCATAAAATCGAAAAAACTCATTTTATTTCTGAAATGTGTGAATACTTCAGACTGATACGAATGAAACTTTATGAAAATCAGAAGAGGAGTCGAGTATACGCTTAAATTATATGCACCAATAGTCGTTATATTTGATGAAATAAGATTATATAAATGTATAGAAATATAAGAAAAATATAATAAACATATATTAGAAGAAAAAAAGAGAAGAAATTCTAAGTATATGAATTCGAACTGATATGTTTTTATGGTTCAATTGATAAAAATAATTTTAAAAAACTGACGAAGTATAAGTTGTATAAAAACAAGTTGTTCTCAAAAAAAATAAAAAAAATACAATATTTAAATAATGAATAGTATTAATAATTTCAACAACATCTAAAACATTAAAATTGACAACAAAGTTACAGAATGTATCAACATACCTGGTGTGTCGCTCGACAGGTGACTGACAACACTTACCTGTGAGGAGCGCTTTATATAATCCCACACGCCTTCATACCTCATCAATCAAATGCGATTGTCCATACATTTACATACGCCATTTCAGTGAAGTTCCAAACTGCTGAATATGTAGATCAGAATGAATGATTCATTGATTCAACTTCATTATGTAATTGTAAAAAAAAAGAAGGAAAAGTGTTTGTGGAGAATACAAATCTGTTTTAGTTTCATGGAATTGATTAGCATTTTAAGGAAACAATCTGATGGATAACAGATATAAAGTCTATGTGTGGGTATTATTGACACATACATCACAATGATGACAATATAATGGTGTAGTTTTCGCCGGTTTTTTCTCTGAATAATTGCCTCGTGATGTCCTCTTAATTACGCAATGAGTGTTTCCAACTGTGTGAGTTAATATGATTAACATTAATAAGGGTTTTATAGGCAAGTTACCCTAAATTTCTACACGTTTTGGAACTTTTTAGTCATTGATTTTAATTCTTTGGACCTTTGTATCACTAATAAGTTCTTAATGAAATAAACGACCATATGATGCAGAAATCACATGTTGACTTTGTTTGGCTCTATGCATCGACATGAAGTTTTTTTTACGTATGCGCTTCCTTTGTCGTATTTCTTTTGGCGGCCTTATATGAGAAAGGTGCTATTTCCTGACCTCAGGTAGGCGGTGTGTACTTCGGGTACGCCGGTTTCCACATCACAGAAACGGCACTGTCTGTAAATGGCCTTAATCTGTTAATCTGACATAACATAATTTAAAAAAGGAAACATCATTTTCCTTCACTGGGATATTATATTTCTAGTGATTATTCAGTCCAATATACACCGAGAAAAGTTTATGATAGTCATTATAAATTGATTTTCCGTGTCTGTCATCATTTTCGTGATGTTAAATACAGCTGATTACAATATACACAATCATATGTTTGTCAGGAGAGGTAATTGGGATGCCCCCTGTGGTGAAGGAAAGACTTACTTTTCCCCGGAGCACATGTTTCTGTCTTTGTTTCTATAGTTTCTACTTTCTAGGAGATCGGGTAGTGATTACATTGTTATATATCGCTGTCTGCTGGGTCCATATCCCTGTCTTATTTGAATCAACTTCTACTATTTTTACTTTTGTTTCGGGTGGTCGGGTGGCGCAGTGGTAACGCATTTGTTTTTCACAAAGGCGGCAGGGAAAAAAATCTGTTTTTTTTGTGTGTGATATGGAGGTCGATGTTTTTTTACTATGCTCATGAGGTTGTGTTGTCACTTCCAAGTTCTCGATGTGAGGACGTCTCCATGACAATCGTTTTTTTTTTCATTTTTGTGACCTAGTTTTATCTATTTTGTGTTCGAATTATAGTTTTTTTTATAAATTTTATTTAGAAATGACACACACAAACTCAGATACAGTTACCTACTATATGAGATATGATTTTACCCGCCCTGATAAACTTTTGCCAAACCGGTCTAAACGCAAAAGGTAAACTAACCTAGTGTTAGAAATGATAAAGTGATAGACTTCAGTTTGAGCATAAAAATGAATTGATTGCTATAGATTTGTGCTATATATTGCATTGTAAGAAATAAAGATGAACTTGTTATTATCATACGATTTTCTACTGAAATTCGTTATTTTGAAATGTAACAAACGTAAAGATGTACTGACCTAAAATGATAGTATGACTCCCCCTAATAAACATCACAAGGAAACGTGACAAATGTCAAGATGAACTGACCTGAAATGATGGTACAAATTTCCCCCTGATTTACTTTACACTGAAATGTATCCACAGTTTAAGATGGACTGCTTTGTTGTGACATTATTGTTTTCGCTGATGATAAAATGGATTAAGATACGTAATACAAATGAACGACGAGTTACAGGTAATACAAAACAGGGTCAGAGAGTATAGGGTGAACAAACAATGACATTAGTTATTCACACCTCGGCGCGCTGTTACTGACATGCATCATACTGAAGGATTTCCCCCTACTCATTGCGGTACGTTGTGACATATACGTTAACGTAAACACATAAGATCTAAATCAAACAAAAGATAAATACCTTTCATTGAAATATTTATCCCTTTGTCGCCCGATATGTCTGCAGTAAAAATATTACACGAACAAATGAGCGTTTTATAACTGCAGTGTTGGGTTTGACACTACAATATGCATACCTGATGAATAATAACCTTATGGAAATACACACTGTACGATTTTATTGATATTTAATAGCACATGCTATGTAAAGTTCAGATAATTGTAGCGGTTTTTACTTCTTGAAAATGTAGATGTACGTTTGATACTTAAATACTAATCGATAATAGTGTAATAATAATAAAAGTTTCGGAAATTAATAGTTCACATCGTGAAATTGAATCCGAATTGTAAATGATAAATATGTGTGAAAATATTATATTTTTTATCTGTCCGTAGAGGTATATATATTGTCCAAGGGGAAAACATACTTCCCCCACATTCACCAATAATTTCCAGATTGGATTTCGTCATTTTTCTTGTATTCTGTTTCACAATGCGAACAGTAAGCAAGCTTAATGGTTTCCCCCTATTTGTGAGCTCCCGATCCCTTTTCCTTCTCTTACGGTAAAGTCTAATCACCACTCCATCTGTACGGTGATCAATCTAGTATCAATCTAGTACTACAAGACAGAACATATAACAGTCGTTCACATTAGTGACAAACATATTTTTTCCGCCAATAAGTCATTATCTCCATCTGCTCTGTTTCCAAGGAAATCCAGGTACTGGACTTTCCATCCGCATTTTTTCTACTTTCCTACTTATAGCTTTACTGTCTGACTTCTTAAAGCACCATTTTTCTTTTCTTTGTTACGTTTGCAGTTTTAATTTTAGTAACTGCTTTCCATAACCAATCTTCGAAATTCCAGGGGGTAACACACACTCTTATGTCGTCTGCAGCTCTGGAATATAAGGTGACGAAATCAAATTTGCAACCATTGTGGATGTTACAAATAGACTAGTTTGATCCTTTTGTAGATCGAAAGCATCGCGCAGCAGCGTAATGGTAAAATCGGCAGGCTTTAAAGTTGGATTTCTACATATTTTGGAACATCTTAAGACTTTTGATTTTCATTCTCTTGACCTCAGTGGATAAACCTGCAATAAGGTGCAGTTTACTTTGTTTGGCATCTTTGCATCTACAAAGTAATTTTGTATATCTAGTAATTATTTTATGACATTTTTTTGTTTCGTTTATACCATTCTAAATACAAAAAGGAACTGTTCATTGTTCATACAATTGTTAATATGATGTTACATTATATAATTCCTAGCTCAGGAAGACAAAATCGATACGAACAGCAAATGAGGAGACACCAATACAAAAGGAAAAACATCATGAAATCATCCTTCAAAAAACCGATAAGGGACTAAGTGTTCCGAATGAGTAAGAATCTCCTTTGCCACATGTGGTACCTATCGTGTCCTTTCATACCTTGGACAATATGTAGATCACTAAAAAACCATCATATT